CTATATGAGTATGCATGCTTTGAAATCGTTTTGCTAAAATTGTTATGTATTGTCTGTGGATCTAGAGCTGCTGGAATTAAGTATTGGCTTAGGCTTGGTTTATGAAGCATAGACAATGGCAAAATCTGAGGTCAATTGGGATTTGACATATCTGCCACTTACTTTACTCAAGATACTTTACTCAAAGATCTGAAGATGATGAGAAAATAAAAGTATTTCCGTTGTTTCATATGCATAGGGCACACATTTGAAGTCAAGCCAAGCAGCAATGAAAATAAATAATGATGACCTTGGTTTATTTTTTGCTCAGTGCATTCAAGTTTTGATTGGATTTTGAATAAGACAACAGTTTTTTCTACATAGCATTGTGTAAGTCCTTGGAGGTTTAGAATATGTTATCAAAGAAGCCAGCTCAAAGTGGAACTTATTTTTCTGAAGTCAAAAGTAAAAGTAAGACATAGCTTTTGACCTTTTGTACTGGCATAAAAAAATAATTTAATTTATTATTAACTCTTGTTCATACACACAGATATACTCACACAACCTCCAACCTCCCACGTATAAATATATATGATCTCTTTTGTATTTTAATAGGAAGGTCATGTTTTTAAAATTATATTATTCTCCATAATGCACAATTTAGCTGACTCTATACAGAGCCGCTGCCTGTAAATACAGCACATATTCCAATCCACCCTTATTTAGTGTGACTTTGGCCCTAACCCATATCTTACATTTAATTTTAAAAAGTTGAAGACATAATACTGAAGCATGTATTAAGGACAATAATATCATATTTGGTTTCTGGAGGCATTCATAAATCATTAGACTTTTGGCCTTGATGATTTTTATAATTATTATGATTATTATAATATATAATATTGTTATTATATAATTGTTACAATGCACTCTCGGTGTTCTCTAAAGCAGAATATAAGTGTATGCGATTATGTATGTGTATATATAAGCAATAAATAACAAAGAATAAAAAAATACACAATTTAAAACTATCCTTGCTAATCACCCGAATTTGCTGCACTAGAAACCACAGACCTCTATGACATAGGCCTTAAGCCACCTTAAAGTGTGTCATGAACACACTGACGTCAGCTCTGAAATATAATGTATTGCCGAAACATAAACAACAGTTTTGCTCTTCATAGGCATTAAGTTACATGAGGTTTGGTCACTAACTCATTAAGTAAAGTATGGAATTCAAAGAATGCTTGGCAAATACCATGGAAACTACCAACTCTCTCCATGAACCTTTAAAACTTTGCTTTTTACCGATTCACTAATGAGCTGCAATTTGCTTATTGGTAGATGTGGTATAGCTATTTGAAACTTAAACCTGACATTTTTTAAGTAAGCTCTATTAAAGTATTTTTATATCCCCTCCTCCCACACACATATATAGCTTAACTTGCAGAACAAATATTTCTTCATATTGTAATGGTTCTCACTGAGGAAAATATATAATACTTATTTTTTAAAGTGATACGTTAGGGCGTTTCTTCATTATCTGATTGCTGCACTTTTTGATAATTGTTCCCCATTAGTTCCCAAGTGACTTCACCAAAGTCTCACATTTACACTAAACCTGTTAGACCAAACTGGAACTTTCCAGAAACCATCTGGGACTTTGCAGAATTCACAAATACACCTAACAGTGAAATCGCTGCTGGTGGTCCAGTGGCAGGGGGGCAGGTAACGGTAAGATTTACTTAACGGAACCTTTCCCTTGCAGGAAGGGCCATCTTCCTTCTTGTAAAAATTTGTATTTCATAAAGATGCTATACTGTAAGATGAAATACTCATTTTTCAAGGAGGCGTGACAGTGCTGCTTTAAACTAAGGCATGCAAGTCTGGTTCTAAATCTTTTTCAACCCTTCCATTTTTAGTTGAGATGTATAAATGAATAGGCTAAAAATTTAAGAAAATCAAGACAAGTATACTTTAATTATCATAAAAAACTTACCTAGCTTTGCAAGTTTACATGTAAATATGCATGTCATGACTTAGTCTCACTAAGCTACAGCTTCCCAAAGTAAAGTGAGCATTCATCTACCAAACTTTCATAACCACAATGTACTGGTGCTAATGCACCCTGTCACCTCCAATACATTGTTTATATCGTCACAAACTCTTCAATCACTTTTACACTGAGGGCTTGAATTATCATTCTGTATGCAACAGAATTCATAATCCACATTACCGATCCGAAATGGAGAAGCCATCTTTCCATTTGCTGTGCTGGTGAATATAAGATATGCCCGATCCACTCCTAACCTGCAAGTTCCACAAGACTTCACAAACTCACTAATTTCTATATAAACAAACATTTCTTTCTCCCTCGCCATTTTAGCCTCTATGCAGACCATTGCTATGTCACTTTCATTATTAAGTGAAATGATTTGTTGTATTAGACATCCTTACTTGGTGAGGTTGATACCCTCATCTTATGCTACCTCTATTTTATATTCCTGAATATGTCCATCACCAGACCCACTGCAATCACCCACTGTAAATGGTGTCAACCAGTGGAAACAACACATTCCTACAATACATTTGACATACTTGTTTTAACATTACTCAATCTCCAAACATATATTTTTCATGGTAACACACATTGATATGGGCTGAAAAAAATACTACACTATTCCTATATCTATCTCTACACTGAATATATATGGCAACCTTATCCAAAGGTAAATGTGATCAATCTCAACAGAACTCTTCCATTGCTTGCGGTCCTGTACACTCATTTTACAATTTTGGGCTCAGGTTGGTGGATATGCCTCTACCCGGCTTTCTCCACCCATTTCCGTTACAGTACGCTTGCACTATTTGGTCTTGTCCCACAACATCCTTACAAAAACAAACAGCTTACCCTACTGGTGGCTGTTGTGAAGAAAAAAACATTCTGTGTGTCTGGATAAACCTGACCCCACTTCCCGACAACTTTTTACAAATAAGCTAGCATATTTTTTCCATTTGGATTGTTTACAAACAGCAGACTCCAAATCGTATTTAAAACATGGCAGTCATATGTAACATCCCTTAATGCATACAGCAAAAACTTAGAGATTCTTTTGACTAAACCTCCAGGTTTACTTCATTAAAATTGTATACAGAGTGTTTTGTAATCATGCAGCCCTGCTACTTGACTATTCAAGATGTTTGTTATAATGTTGTTTGATGGCTACTTTTGTAGTAAAAACATTACAAAAAGAAAGGACTTAATCTTGTATCCCTTTAAATCACATGGGAAAGGTGAATGACAGGGGACGGGGCAATGTATAATTTTGCTACTCCTCTTCAGTCTCCAATGTCACCATGGCAACATTAGAGAGACAGATAAATTGATTACAATAGCTATAGCTACAAGACAGAGCTTTCAACAGCTCATGATTTATATTGTTGCATAATTTTGTATACCTTTCTTTTAAGCCAATAGCAAAAACCATTAACTTCTTTATGACGGACGACTTGTCAGGGCAGTCATGATGTTGTGGGATTAGTGCACACCCCTGAGATGAAAGAGTTAATGAAACAGAGCTGTATCCTACATAATGAAATATGATTTCATGGCAAAACAATGAAAAAGTACCACTGCATATGCATAAATTAGATTTCTGTCATAGTTGTAGAATGGCAATTATATGTAGGCAGAAATAGCATGTTTTTCAAATTGTAATACACAGCAAATATAACTACAATTTTCTGAAGCATATAAAAATCATTAATTTTAGATTTTTTATTTGCAATACATATCTAAACTATTTATGGCAATGCAAATGGAATGTGAAGTGTACGAATGTAATTTCTTTTTTCTCTAAGCATGCATTCTTTTATTATTTGGGTTAGGCGGCACAATAAAAAAAAAATGGGTGATGCAGATCACCAGATCATTAGGCTCAAGTCCTATGGTGAAGGGGATATATGTAACTGTTACTGTAACACCATTACTATCACAAAATGGACCTTCACAGTTGTAGCTATGAAGACAATTGTTGAAAGGTGTTTGTAAATATCAGATTGTGAACTGAAAGTAGATACCAAACAATCGAGCCAAACAAATTATTAATGAATGACTTTGGAGAACTCGGCTAGCTTAAAGATGAAACACTCCTACATTTTCGTATACAGAATCATCTCTCATTTTAAATCTGCAATTGGACATTCCCCACTATTGTTGCAGTGTCTGTAGAATTCTATGATGGGAGTGTATGTTATTATTGAGACTAATGCCTAGCTCTGACATTTCAGCACACACTGTCAAACTATGTAAATGTGATAAAGTACAGTTTTGTGGGTATTAAAAGTAATTCACAAAAGTACTAAGCTACTATGGCATTGTACTGCAAAGTAATAAAAAATAAAACATTTCACATGTCTATATGTTTCATATTTATCAAAATCCTTGTCAAAATGTATGTATGGGTGAGAGCCTAATTCATAACACATGTTGCTTTAAAAAGTGTAAGTGATGCATGCTCACATTTGCACTGTGTGTGAAGCTTCCACATGGTAAGAACAGCATGTTTATCAAATATAAATCCATACATAACAAACACAAGAACGTGGTTAAGATCATTTTTGTAATATACCTCTGCTAACCCAGTGCTGTTTTGTGCTTGTCTTCCATCTCTTGCACCAGTGGTATGGTAATGGTTACGCACAGTTAGATTGAGTTTTGAAGATCACTTACACAGTTGAATTATTCTAATTGACTATACACAGCTTCCATTTTAAATTCAGCAATTATATTGTACAGCAGAATTTATGTGCTATATACATATTTTTCAGTGGTCTTGTTAAAAATACACTTTATTGGCTAGTCACTTGTAAAACGTGAGGACATACATAACTTTTTATGTCATTTTTGTATTTTATGTTTAGTATGTATACACATACATATAGATTTGTATTTGCAAAATTGTATATATATATATATATATAATTTAATTTATAAATTTGAGGCCAAAGCTGCACATTATCATTACCCAGCATTTCCCTGCATCCCTGTAAATATATATATTTACAGGAATGCAGAAAAATGCTGGGTAATGTGGGATATATATATATATATACCGCTATATATATTTACAGGGGTGCAGGGATATGCTGGGTAATGTGGCATGGGGGACAACTATATAATTTTTAAAAAATATATATATATTTACAGGGATACAGTGAAATGCTAGGTAATGTGGCATGGGATGACAACAATATATATATATTTTTAAAATGCCCAATTTGAGGCCAATACTACACATTATCATGCTCTGCTCCTTTTCTTAAATTTAATTGACATATTTTATACTAACACTGCATTAAGTGGAATACAAAAAATGTAAACACATAATATATTTAGTAATGAACTGTGAGGATGCAGTAGAACAAACCTCTTTATACTTGTTTCCCTCGGGGGCAATAGCCTCCTACCCCCCTTACCAGTGATCCCTTGCATATATCTCTTCTCTTAGGCCCCTTTAAAATGTTCAACAAAATAATGTCTTTAGATAAAGGCAACTAAGAGGCTGAGATGACATGCAATGTTTTCATCAAAATTACAATGCTATATATTGTTTTGCACGCAGTGCTACAAATTGTGTAATGTTTATTACAATAGGCTTCAGGATAATAAGACAGTGTGTTCTTGCATAGTACTCAGAATGCACTTAGACAGAAGTAATTGCATGTTTTGTGATCTAGTCTACTTGCAACATAAATAATAAGTGCCATGCTGAGTAATTTAGTAAGACTTTTTTACTGGGAAGGAAGTGGAGTCTATTCTGAAAGTATTGAAATTATATCTATTTACTGTTGTAGTCAATATGATCACACAACAGAATACTTAAAGTGCAACCTATTCAATTGTCTAAATAATATAGATATAATTATCTATGGTTCTCTTGCTACTGTGAGCTATGATGATCATGATGCTAAGTTAGCCAGCAGGTTCCATTCTCAGCAAAGAAAAGTTTTTTTTTTCTGTACGCACCTTCTATTTATTCTACTCTGCACTGGTTTATTATTACTGAGTCAATAAAGAACTGATGTTCCGATGTACGTGGACCCTATCCAGAGCATTGTTCATTGTACCTACCCTTACTCCAGTATGCTTGCTAATGCTAGTTATGTGTATTTTAAAGCGACACTATAGTCACTAAAACAACTTTAGCTTAAAGGATCACTATAGGGTCAGGAACACAAACATGTATTCCTGACCCTATAGTGTTAAAATCATCATTGAGCCCCGCTGGGCCCCTCATGCCTCCATAAATATAGCAACATCTTACTGTATTCTAGCCAGTAGCTGTAACTCAGCATGCTGTTTGCCTCAAAAAAAAAAAAAACAAGCAATCTACTGACATCATCAGAAGTGGTAGCCTGATCCAATCACAATGCTTCCCCATAGGATTGGCTGAGACTGACAAAGAGGCAGATCAGGGACAGAGTCAGCATGAATCAACCACAGCCCTGGCCAATCAGCATCTCTTCATAGAGATTAATTGAATCAATGAATCTCTATGAGGAAAGTTCAGTGTCTGCATGCAGAGGGTGGAGACGCTGAATGTTTGGATGCATTTTAGGCAGCCATGACCCAGGAAGGATCTCTAACAGCCATCTCAGGAGTGGCCAGTGAAGTTATCACTAGGCTGTTATGTAAACACTGATTTTTCTCTGAAAAGACAGTGTTTACAGCAAAAAGACTCCCGATAGTAGGTAGAAGAATTAGCAGCTTTATTTTAAATAAAAAAAGTAAAATGGCACTTGCAGAGTGCTAAAAGCAGTGGTCGGTCCTACTCCCACCTCCCCTGACTGTGACTGACACAGCCTGCTCTGTAAATTAAACTTTAATCTCACACAGGAGTTTCCTGCAAGTTCTAGAAAGCTACTAACAGTGCTGCAATTAAGAAATTCTAAACTGAACTGACTGTGCAATAAAGGAAGTTTAAAAAATAGATCTCACGTTACTGAAAGTGTTTAGGAAGGCTGTGCAAGTCGAATGAAGGGAGGTGTGACTAGGACTGCATTGAGCAGTGGGACTGCTGGGCCATAATTTATACACCAAAACCAATTCATTAAGGTATAAGTTTTGGTGACAATAGTGTCCCTTTAAGAGTCTACCTGATGGGAGCACTAGAATTCACTGGGAGATCCTGGTGTTTACCAAGTATGGTTAAGTTGGTTTGCATTTTTTTCTGTCCCTTAATGCCCAGTTTTACAACTCTTTTAACACTATTTATATAAGATAATGCAGAAGCAAAAGGTAGCATAAGATGTGTTTTATAGATAAGGAGATAGATTAATTTGTGCATTTTATGCTGGTGAATAATAATAAGCAGTGCATTGTGTTACTTTTGATTCATTTTGTATTATTTAATCTACACTATATTAAAACCAAAAACGTAATAGACTCAAAGCCGGTCCATAACCCCAATTGCAATTTTAATTTACTGAATTGGTCTAAAATGTTTACCCATTTAATATGTCAAGAAAACCAGAGGACACTTTTGGTTTGCTACATTTAGAAATTAAATTAGTTTAACTAGAATAATAGAAAATGGAATTCACAAAAGCTCCTAGTGAATGGCTATTAGCATTTTAGCACAACAAATTAGAAATATAATTCAGATATTTGGGGATGCGGAATACATTATGATTCTTGAGAATATATTATAATTCTTGAAAAGAACATTTGAGCCTATATAGAAGTGATCTCTAAGCAGCAATAGCAGCCGCTGAAATGTAAACACTGAAATAAGGGAGAGAAAAAATGTAGCGCAAGGTTATATTTCTTCTAAAACAATCATACTTATCTTAGCTTCAGAAAATTGTTCTACTGATTTATTAGCAAACTGGGGAACATTTCTGCAGGTAATTGAACCAACAGCTGGTCTTCCAACTGTTTCTCAACCTATCCTTTGAAAAACATATCTCAATGGTATTTTCAAAGACATCAACTTACTGTACATATATTTCCTTTATAGCATTATGAGTAAAGTAGTGTTGGATTTAGAATTCATTCTTGAGAAATTGTATTAAAGAATTATTATAGAAAACATATGTAAAAAACAAATGCAACGTGGTCTTCTTCTCTCATATACCTGCTTGCATCTTCAGATTGTCCATAGTGTTAATTCTTCACCAATAGTCAGTTTTTAGGTATCATGCTGTCAGGATTCATCTATGCAATCTGGTAGAATAATTGTTGCTAGTGTGTGGTCTGCTCATGGTTTTAAGACCCAATAGTGTTGTGCAACACTTAGAACAAGTATGTAATGCGACGCATGCATTACTTTTAGTAGGCATTGTATAGGTGTCATTAAGATAAACTGGGAGGGGCTTTAAAAAAACTTATACTACAGGGCCGTTGAATGCTTCAATCATATTGGTTGACGAACATTCTAAGGTGTGCATTATTTTCAGGGAGACGCACGGCTAAAGTAGTTCCAGACAGGTCTTGACTACATTACAGTTGCGTAAGAAATTAGTCCTACAAACAAGAGCGTTTTAATGACAAAAACTTGACAAACGTCTTGAAATACATCATCTGAATTATGTTTCGAGGTGGGGTAACTGTAGTATAAGCGGAATAATTGACTCAAGGCCACTGAATTATTAGAAAAAAATAAGGATTAATTGACGACAGGCCGTTGAATTATTAGAAAAATAATGCACACCCGAGGTGTAACGGCAACTCCGCTTCGCATCGTGACTGTATTACCACCTCGGGTGTGCATTATTTTTCTAATAATTCAACGGCCTGTCGTCAATTATTCCTTACTTACCTTCTCTCTCCTTAATGCTCATTCAGAATATTGATATCTTAGTAGTATTTTCAGTATTCTGTTCCTTTTTTTTTGTCCTTTTTTTGTTTTTCTCCCTTGCAGCGCAGCTCTCGATGATCTCAGCCAATTCAGCCAATTCTGTGCTTTCACATAGGAAATCATTTGAGGCTAGTGCACATGCACAGCAAAGCACAATGCTACACCAACCAGATGATCTCTTTGAGATGACCTGATTGGAATAGCTGAGTTTTACTTGGCTATTTAAGCAGAAGCACCTCTAGTGGCTGTCTGAGTGACAGTCACTAGAAGCTGTTAAACCGTGCAATGAGAACATTGACGTTCTGCAGGACGTCAATTTTAAAATGTGGGGATGATGGGGCATGGCACTGAGACCACTTAATTGAAATGAAATATTCTGGGGGGTGTATAATGTGTTCCTTTAAGTAGAGGTTGATGTGCAAGACCACACACAACTACAAAAACAGGCACTAGGTAAATAATATTCTCTAACTTCAACCCAAGGTTTTTATGGACTTTAGTTAGGTCCTGTTTCAGAAGATCAACTCAAAACTGGCGCCATCAGGAAGCAAAGCAAAAACAGACTTTAAAATAATATACTTTATATTTGCTTGAAAAATTTACAATCTGGGTATCCTCTCTAATTAGAAAGATGAAATAAGCAAAGATAAAATACTCTCCCAAATATATTCTCACTTGCTCACTTGCTTTGTTTGGTTATTTGGAGAGATTTTGCCTTTCAGTTTAACAAATTCAAGAAGCTCTCATTGCATGTTGATAGGGTTCAAGATTTTCACTGATCATGGTAGATTTTGGTTCTGAGTAGTGGACATGCAGAATCTCGAACTATGTGTACAATTACAAGTACTTAGAAATTCTGTTCAATTATTTATGTCAGAATGTTAATTGGCTACTCTTGCTCTGTGTAACCTTACTGGCAGTTGAGATGAATTTGAGGTTAGCAAACAACTATGTCACACTTAGGAGAAGATGGCCTTAAGCACACCGTTCATTAACAAAACCTAATTAAGCCTACTGAGAACTTGGCAAGGGCACATTGTTTTATCATATGACGTAGGTAGAGGTTATAAAAAAAAATACACAGCATACAGAAAGAATAGAAAATATTTCCCCATGATAGAAAACCACTTGTCAGATCCACCAGTTAACAATCTCCTATTGACCAACTCAACGAACCATGCATGTCACTGAATAAACCCATCTGTCATATATCAGTAAAAGAAACACAGTTTTTTTATGAGCATAACAGTAATGTATGCATGGTGTTGAAACTTGCTGAGAAATGGAAGCTCTGTAA